GGGCAGGGGGAGATCAACAGGGATCACGGACGAGAGGGTCTTCGCGGGCGGACGGGGCCAGGATAGCGGCAGGGGCTGGAGGGGGCACGTAGGCTGTCATTGAACATGGTGGCTGAGGACGGCGCTGGGACAGGCTGAGGTGAGGAGGAGCCTCCTTCTCCAAGACCAGAGGGAAAGGCGTGAAGACGTCGCCGGGTTTATTGGCAGAGTCTGCGCCCGCCCGGCGTTCTCTGGGAGGCCCGCGCACCTGCGGAAGGCCCCGGGCTGTGGGGCTTGTGACGAGAGCACCGCCTGGAAGCGAAGTGAGTCACACCACCGAGTCACCGTGACACAGCAGGATTTCCCAATCAGTCCGGGAGTCGGGGCGCTTGGAATGTGTTAGAATCATGGATGCCTGGGCCTCTGACGCGGACCTACTCAGCGAGACATTCCAGAAGGGGACCTGATGGTCTTTGCGTGTAACGGGCGCCCCACGTGGTTCTTCCCTGCAGGGGAGTTGGACCAGCACCGAAGGGCAGGACTCGGCCTGAAGCCGGGGGTGCCCAGCAGCTCTGGCCTCTCTGGGGGGCTGGTCAGAGCCACGCGTCCCACTCCAGACCCGAGAAATCACTGTCCACGCTTGAAATTTGATCCGTGAGTGAGTCACGGGCACGCAAAAGCTTGAGAAGCATCATGAGAAGTCACCGCTGTTGCCGTGTGTCCACTGGCACAGAAACATGGCCGTCCCTGCTGGCGAGCCTACCAGCGGGACGAGAGAAAGTCCCACGGTGACCGGGGTGGTGAGGGCGGACAGGTGACAGGGTGGGTCAAGTGCTTGAACCCAGGGTCTAGCGTGGGAACAAGGCCGGGAAGCGGCAGGCGAACCAGGAGTCTAAGGGAGCCTGAGGGGTCCAAGATTCGGATCGGGTCAAGAAGCCGGGGTGCGGGGGACAGAGGAAGAATGAAGAAGGATGTGGTAGGTCCGTCCGTGTCCATCAGGTGGCCCGGGAGTGGCTGGTCACAGAGCAATGGAGACGACACAGCTCGGAGCAGAGGGACCGAGGTGTCCTGCTTGTGAGCCTTTCGCGGAGCAATTTGCTTGAGGAGGGGACCTGTGCTCGTTTGTTCAGCCACCACCCGCTGCGGGTCCGTGTAGTTCGGGTGGGACGCGGATGGGCACCAGGGATGGGCACATGACAGACGCGGCCACCTAGAGCGCTCTGTCCTCTGGTCACAGTGCTGGGTTCAGCACTGGGCACGTGACCCGGGCAGGACCCTCAGAATCCCCTGGTAAGTTGGGTCTATGAAAACGGGGGAGGAAGGAGCCCATTTTCTTTGGGGTGGTGGGGGCAAGGAGATGAGAGAAATGTGAGGTGAGGCACCCCAATGACTGACTTGCACCGGGGTCCGCCCACGCCGAAGGCCATGTGCATCTGGACGTGGCCTTTGAGTGACGTGCTCCCATCCGCCCTTGTGAGTGAGCCGGGGTGCCTGCAGCGGGGGCTGAAGTCTCTGTGGGGTGCGAACAGGGCCCCGGACGATGGCGGGTGAGGCGGGCAAGGACGAGCGGGGGGGCCTGTCAGGTGCCCGGAGCTCCGGAGGACGGGGAGGGTAAGAACTGGCATGCAAGGGGCAGAAAGGATTGGAGGGGAGGGGTGTCGAGCCTCCTTGAGAAACGCCGTGGGCGTGGCAGCAGCCCCCACCCACAGCCAGGTGGGCTTCTCGGCCCGGAGGCCTGCTCCCAGCCTGGCCCGAATCTGCGTCGAACCCTGGTCCTGACCACAGCTTGGCCCCCGACGCTGACCACCGTGGGCTGACCCTTCCTCTGGCCATAGTTTGACCTTTGACTCAGGCCCCCTCCCAACCCTGATCCTGTTCTTCTGTCTCAGTGTGAGGCTCCGGGAGCCAGCCGGCCGGCTCAAGGCAACCAGCGTTGACGTAGGAACGTCCAAACCTGCAGAGAATTTTCATGGCGATTTGTTTGAGCCAGACTAGGGTACACCCGGAGAGCTCGATGGACGGAGAGTGGCGATGTGCGTTTTCTCTTCTGCGTCTGGAATTGAGGCGGGAATGTGAGGACACCCGCATGGAGGCAGGAGAGCAGGGTGCGGGGGGCCGACAAGACGACCCGCTCTCTGGAGGGGGCTCTGCCGGGGGGCCTGGCCGAGAGGCTCGCCCTGGCACCCCACAGGTGTGCCGACCTGGATGCCCAGAAACCACGGCCGGGCTCGCTTACGGCCGAGATGGGTCTTATACTAGAGGAGTCACCGGCCTGGGGCGTGACCGCCCACCGTGACCTGCCCAGCGAGGAATTCACGGTCAGCTCACCGTGCGAGGTGACTTTCTGTGGAACCCCTTTTTGGTCCACCTCAGCCCTCCCCTCCCCCTTTTCACGAGCTGCCTCCATCACCTGCGAGGGCCTGGATCGTTATTCTAGGATCTCAAGCGTCGGCTCAGGAATCCAAACGCAGTTTTCCATCTGGAGAACCAGCTGCTGACCTCGCAGAGGTGACGAGGACACCGCTGTGGCTCCCGAGGTTTTCCGGAAGCCTGCTGGTTTCCGTGAACTGTCCGTCAAGCACGTGCAGGCTGGCCCTTGTCGATCCACTGTCCAGAGCCGATTCAAACGGGGCCTCCCCGGTGGCCCAGGACGGAGTCTCCAGTGCCAGCCCTAAGCCAGGACGTCTAAGGCACAGGAGCAGATCCCTTGAGGTCTTCGGGAGCTGTGAAGCCCAAATTGTTCTCTTTAAAATGAAAGACACAGCAGGGTTTGGGGTTTTTGTTTTGCCTTGTTTTGTTTTGTTTTACGTCAGTAAGTTCCAGAGGACACGTCCTTGTGGTCCTCACAGTATTTTTTGTGTCGGATTTTGCCTCAAGGGCAGCAGAGTTTTCGTTGGCGGTACCTGCCCGACCTCAGCCCATTCGGTTACCGGTAGGCGGCCTGGCTGATCATGTTTGGTGATGGAAAACAGCAAAGACCCTGGACAACCACCGAGGACATTTCACGAGCCAGGCCCTCGGCCAAGCACGTGGTACCCGCCTGATCTCATTTTATCCTCAAAGCCAACCGTGAGCAGTGGAAACTGTTCTTAGTCCCCCTTACAGACGCGGGAACTGAGGCAGAGACCGGTTAAGTAATTTCCCCAGAGCCACACAGCCGGGAAGCGTTGGGCCCTGGGTGTGAACCAGGTCCCAAGACTCAGTCGAATGACTTCGGAGTTTCAAAGTCGTTGGTTAGGCGGGGGCAGGACAGACGGACGGGTGGATGTGAGGACAGACTGACGCGTGGATGGGGAAATCGATGATAAACGGCTGGTGTCGAAGGAGGCAGACTTTGTCCCGCCGTGGCCGAGGACCTGGGGACGGGCTGGCTCCAGGAGGCGGGCAGGGAGCCGCGTCTCGCCGACGCGCCCTCTGCCCTTCTTCCCTTCCTCACGTCCTTACGTCACTCACCGTCACGTGGCTGGGTCGGGGTGCCCTGAGTTTGGCGGAGGACCCCCGTGTACGAAAAGACAAGCCACGGGCTCCCTTGGGGAAGCCTGTCGAGGGGTCACGGCTGCTCTTTTCCGACACATGCCGGCTTCCCACAGCGTGTGGCGGTCCCTGTGGTTTGTGCTGACCCGGCTCACCTCCCTTCTTGTGACGTGGGCAGGTGAAGGCTCTGGGTCAGTGAGGTTTTTGTAGGGGAGCTCGGTCCCCCCGCTCCCCGCCAGCGCAGAAATAAGCCTGCGACGCGGGCCCGGGGGCCAGTCTCCCAGCCCTTGGCCACAGTGATCGGCTGGAGAAAAGGCCCACGTCTGTCCTGTGCCGGCCCCTTGGACAATGTCGGGTTTGGGAGTGGCCGTGAGAGAGAAGCCTTCTCCGGGGGTGCTGGAGGGTGACCCTCAGGTTTGCACACTTGTCGAGAGGATCCCTCACCCAGTGTTTATGACTTTTGTGTAAATACAAGTGTGTGTTTCTAATAATGTTATTAAAAGGGAACAAAAGGCAGCTGTCGGCCTCCCGGGTCTGTGCAGCTGCTCGGCAAACAGTGCTGTCACCTAACACTCGGCCGGACACCTGCAGGCCCCAGAGGAGCTGACGGGGTGGGGCCAGGCCCCCAGCAGGGCCCCTGGGGGCCGGGCCGAGCAGCACCTGCTCCTCAGCGTCCAGCGGGGCATGACCAGCGGCCTTCGGTCTGCAGCCTCAGCGCAAGCCCGCGTCTCGGGAGCCCTGCCCACCCCGGGCCGGGCCTGCGGAGGGAAGGGGCTGGGGCAGCCCCTCAGCTGGACGGGCGTGTGGGCCAGAGCTGGGCCCGGCTGGGACCTTCCTGGGGAACAGATGGTGGGGAGTGTCTCGTGGCCACCTGGGGGTGGGGGCGGGTGGACCCAGAGAGAAATCTGCCTCTGGGGGGCATTTCCCGGAGCACCAGGCTGCATGTAGGGTCCTGTTCACATCTGCGCAGCTGCTGTCACCTGCCACTCCTCACTTTCCTTCCTTTGTGAGGTTTTTTGATATTGTGCAAAAAAAATTACGCTTCAGAGAGGAGTGCACAGACACACGTGTGCAGACGGGGGAGCAGACAGCCGTGTTCGCACCCCCTGGGTGAGAAGGCGCCGGCGGCAGCCCGTCCTCCGTGGGCCGGTCGCCCGGCTCCCGCCACCCAGAGTGTCCTGACTTCCCCGTCAGTGTTTCCTG